AATTCCACAAAGAACTACTATCGCGTCACTAGAAGAGATTAACATGCAAGAGCAAACTTTGCACAGAATAATTTCACTCCAAACAACAATCAGTTTTTTAAAGTTTGTCCGGGACAATAGACGCTAAAAGTACCAAAGCATGAAACAAAATTTGCAATAATGGTTTTCTTCTAAACCCAAAACAAGAATTGGGGAAACTCCCACAACTCCCGGGTAAGTTCAATCCATTCTAATAATGACCCTTAACCTACAAGAAAGAAAATAATTATGGCTTCCAAATTAAAAAGCCTTTCACCACCACAACCGAACAAAAACCTGATCTTTAAAGGAGATCAGCAACATTTGCCGGCAGCTCTTCAACTACAACATTGTAAAACTTCTGGATGTCGAACAGCATCTTTTCGTCATCCCTGGTCACGAAATTGATGGCAACACCCTTTCTCCCGAATCGTCCACTACGACCAATACGATGGAGGTAGTTTTCTGGCTGTGTTGGGAGATCATAATTTATCACAAGAGAAACCTGCTGCACATCAATACCACGGGCCAACAGATCAGTAGTTATAAGCACGCGGGAGGAACCGGATCGGAACTCCCTCATGATAATGTCTCTGGTGTTTTGGTCCATGTCTCCATGGGTGGCAGAAACCGTGTGGTCTCTGCTGCGCATCTTGTCAGTGAGCCAGTCAACCTTCCGCCTCGTGTTCACAAAGATAACACTCTGGGTAATTGCTAGTGTCTCATAAAGATCACAGAGCGTCTCAAGCTTCCATTCCTCCTTTTCAACATTGACATGAAACTGCTTGATACCCTCGAGGGTGAGCTCATCACGTTTCACCAAAATCCTTACAGGCTTGTTCATGAACTTCCTGGTGATCTCAAGAGCCTCAGGTGGCATTGTGGCAGAGAAAACACCGACCTGAATCTTGGATGGTAGCAGCTGAAAAATGTCATAGATCTGAAAATGCATAAAAGTATTGTCAGAAAAAAATAAATAAATAAACTTATGCCACCAGCATGTTAACGAGATGGAATGAAGTATATTTCTAAGATGGTGGGTATAAGAAATCCAACATGAAAAGACAGGCATAGCAGCAATGTTAAACTGTGAGAGAGAGACAGAGAGAAAGAAACCAGTAAACCATCAATAC